GATGCATTCTGTTTTGCTGAAAGTTAGACGCTGCGTCAGACCCCGTTGAAAAAATACATTTGTTTTCTTTTCTTCAGTAAAGCATGGTGCATTGGAGTCATCGTGAGAGTTGGAAGTTTCTTGTGGCTACAACTAGACACTCATTTAAGTGGGTGGGACATTAGGTAAGAATCTGATGTCTTTGGCGACATATAACCAAGAGAACCGAAGAGGCCAAAACTGTTACTGATGTTCTAATAACGATAACAGCTCTCTAACTTCGGTTTATCTGGACTTCATCGCGGTGGTTCAGAATTTTCAACCAATACTCCTCTGGTGATTGTGTATCTTGCCACATGTCACTCATTGTCAACAGTGTAGTTTAGCTATTCTTATGTTTCATTGCGTAACGTGTGACGCACTAATAACCTAAAACAGCCTCATGCATTTGAAGGACTCTTCACTAGTGAATGCACTCTGATTCTGCTCTAGCCTGACTCACTCTACCAGAATCAGAGTGCATTCACTAGTGAAGAGTCCTTCAAATGCATGAGGCTGTTTTAGGTTATTAGTGCGTCACACGTTACGCAATGAAACATAAGAATAGCTAAACTACACTGTTGACAATGAGTGACATGTGGCAAGATACACAATCACCAGAGGAGTATTGGTTGAAAATTCTGAACCACCGCGATGAAGTTCAGATAAACCGAAGTTAGAGAGCTGTTGTCCTTATTAGAACATCAGTAGCAGTTTTGGCCTCTTCGGTTCTCTTGGCTATATGTCGCCAAAGAGATCAGATTCTTACCTAATGTTCCACCCACTTAAATGAGTGTCTAGTTGTAGCCATAAGAAACTTCCAACTCTCATGATGACTCCAATGCACCATGCTTTACTGAAGAAAAGAAGACAAATACTTTTTTTCAACAGGGTCTGACGCAGCGTCTAACTTTCAGCAAAACAGAATGCATCTATGAATACACAGGTAGAAGCGGATCCTTCGGTCAATTCGGACATGGTTAATTGCTGGTTTTCCGTCGTTTATTGGATTGCTAATCACCGTCAACTGGAATGTGTTAACAAAGGTGGTTGTTTTTACGTCTGGTAAGATATCGACCCTGTTGTGAAGCGGAAAAACCTTTTTAGTCGTGAACCGAAGAATGTAATGCCCCAACAACTGGACGTTTGCGATTCAGGTAGCTTCCTCAGACATTTTGACTTACTTTAGTCCTCGACGTTTTTAGTTTGTCCAGCATGAAAATCGGGCTGGCTAAATTTTCTTTAGTGTTAATTTGATCAATAAACCTTGTCACTAGCATGCAACATGCACACATACACCCTGCAAGACTTTTTTAACAACAGTTTCTTGTCAATAGACAGTGTGCAGAGAACTAAAGTGAACGAACCTGCAATTGCTGATTTCTACGTCAACGTTTGAACTAAACGGTGACGAGTTTACTTCACTTTCGATTAGGTCGAAGTAGATCACTCGACTACAGCGTTGCTGTAAGGCTCCCTTAGCGCCCAATTCTACCTACACTAACCCAAACCCGNGAATTAGATAAAACGGAGACATTTTGCATGCAATGATGCTCTTCTGAACCGTCGTCCTTAGCACACAGGGAGCATTAAAGAATACTGGGGCTACAAACTATCTGCTGATATTGCTATTCGAACTCTTTTTAGGATTGTGCATTAGCGATGTTAACTGGGAACCTTCAGCTGTCTACCTGGTAGAATCACAAAACACTCGATTGAATGTTTCGGGAAAATGATACTTAACTCGTGGCCAACACCGTATGTAGTATGTGGAGATTAAAGTGGTGAATTTTCACTATAGTGCGCAAAATAAGTTAAAAATGTTAGCCGACCTTTCAGTGTCGTAAACGGAATTTTGAAACTAAGTGGTACTAAGCGTTGGAAATGCCAAGCATACAACCATGGGGCAAACTGTCTGCTCCATAGAAGTAGTAAGAGACTTCGAAATGTTACTCGATACGCCATTGTGCAGGTAATGCTGGCAGACCGAGAAGCATCGCAGACTTGTTTCGTCCATATCGGGAACTAGGTATCTACGCAGATTCGAATCCACAACTTCCTGGTTGGTAGTTGAACATTGCAACATCCGGTCACCAGTGCGATTAACCTGCAGTTGGATAGGAACATAATGATTATAAAAGTGTACAAGTAGTACGTTAACCCACATCTGAAGATAGTCTCTTTTTATAGGAAAATATGATAACAAACAACCCTTTTCCCCGATTCTTCTCATCAGCTTGTGGGTCTAGTGCTCCTGGCGGTTGGTGCTTTGATGATCTGGGGTCAAGATGTAGTGCACAAACTCATCAATGGCTTTCTCAATCCACTCCTCCAATCGATCTCCGTTACTCAGGATGCTGCTCAAGTTACAGAACTGATCGGCCGGATCCTGACGGCTACTTGTGAGTAGAACTTTATCATTTTTCTTTCAAATGATGTTTTTGCCGTGTCGATTTGAGGCAGATTTCAACAGCTTAGCGACAACTAGAGAGCATGTGACTTGTCTCATTCATGTAACCTATTTTTTATGGTGATCTACAACCTAAAAAGAGTTATGTAAACAAACACGTCACCAAAATGAATTGCTACCTTCAACTGCATCTTTAAATACTCCGAGTGTTGCTAAATACAGACAATCACGACAGCATCCTCCGTTTTTCAACTTCCAAATATGTACGGTACATAGTTCGCAACTACTGAACAAGCTGAAGATAAAGCTGAAAACCATTCTTCCCCTGTTACGCTCAGAAAGTTGGTCACAAATGACCGGTGACAAAAGGCACGGAATAGACTGGGTGCAAAAATCGTTGAAATTAGGATAAACTTCAAATGCGTGCAGAGTAATCCCGTGCGTTCAAAATCATCCAGTTGGCAGTTTTATGCATACAGGTTTCTAATTTATAAATACTGCAATATAGTTTGGCCGTTCTGGCTAGCACAGCATCTGGCCATTGGAAACATTTAGAAAAAAGCAATAATAGAAGCGTAAGCCTTTGTGTGAATCCACCAACGTCACTCTCCCACTTCGGTAGGGTCTACGGCAACCATTTGGGCGAATGTCCAGCTGTGTGCTTGTTAACAGGCATACATCAATGTGGCTCATGAGTTATACTAAACATCTGCCACAGTCTGTACCATCCAACTGCGGTTTCTTTTTATTTCCTGCTTGATAGAACGGGTAAGTATCACCATCCTACGTGGAAAGTATTCGCAGGTGTGTAACATGTTACCAGACTGGGGCCACTGGTGTTGTAACTATCTTTTCAGTGCGCACCTCAATACTTACTACAGAATGTACTTTGACACTTTAAGTACGATATCATTATGACATGTGTATAGTGCATTTCGGTGTGAAGTAAACGTCCAATCATCTGCATATACGAATGCAGCATGTTTCTTCTTGTGTAATAATCTGACCCCCAAGGTAATGTACAAGTTGAGCGTTTCCTCTGCAGGCGCGCGAATGCCAAGTTGTTCACTTTTGTGCAAATCAGCCCAAGGGATTGCTTTTCTTTTTAACTCTACCCATCACTTCTGGCCACTCTTTGTCTGTGCTCTCTGAGAGAATCTTTGTACCTCAGTCACTATATGAGTTGTATACACCAAATATCAACCTTAATCTTCCTAGACCAAATACAGTGTAACGGACAATAGATAAATCATGGTGATTTGTGCACTTAAAAGGCTTTAGCTACTTCCAATATAAACGTGTTGTAGGGAATCGCGCCCCAGGGGCAGTTCTGCACCAACACTCCATGAATTCAGATGACACTACTGGTAGCTGTAACTTACCAAAAAGCGTTAGGTAACCGCTTAGAAACAGTTTTTTATATATATTTAAAATCAGCGATGGTGCAGTGTAAAATCATGTTTTCAGCACATCATTTTTCATTATTCTTTCTACAGCCCCCATCGGAATCACTCTGTTTGTCTTGGGAGCTATATTTGCCATCGTCTCGATCATTGGATATTGCGGAGCTTGCTGCAACTATAAAGTCTTGCTATACCTCGTAAGTTTGACACAGAAAGTTGTTTGAAAACAGATTTGAGATTTGATATCATATTGGCTAACGTGAACAATCATCAGTGTGAATAAGACTCGATACACAGTAGTGTTAAGATGTGGTGCGGACCAAGGTGTATCGGTTTGTTAGAACTCAACTTGTAGCACAATTTGATTGGCTGTTGAAGAATCTCTGCCCTCGCTTGACGTTTCTGATGACGGGCAACAACTGATGACTACTTTAGGCTTTATGAGTGATTTTTAGCATATTAGATTGATATGTTTACGTGCAAATCAAGCTAGGAGATTCAGCAGAATTGATCTAGTGCTTGATATCGATTACGTGGGCTACGACTGTACTTGTGACGCACCTTACTTTGTCGTTTCTCCACCGGAATGAGGAATGCTCATTCATTATCTGGGACAGATGCTGAGTTGTATGATTTATGTAGCTTGTGACTATTTCGCGCACGAAAGAAAAGATAACACAATGAAGCTGTTCTCTGGCATACCGATGTGTGTCCTTAGCCGTGGGGTTTCAAATCTGGTTCGATGATTTCGGACAATTCATCTCGCTATCAAGTAACTTAACATGTGTGAGCAACCATGGGACCGAGGAAGCCCAGTTTTTAACGTTTTTTCAACACTGACTTGGTAACCTTACCGAAGCAACTTTTCGCAAACCGTTTGTTTACTAGAATGACATTTGTTTATGACTTCATTGTTCTGCATTTTGCAAAACAATGCATGTGAATTGGTCAGCCAAGCTTGCTCGAATCTACAGGCAACCTTGATCCATCCTCCTAAGGTCACGTGTACGCACATTCATGGAGGAGAAATCAATATGCAGCCGATACCCGCGTGTGTCCTGCATAAGAAAACGCAGTGCACATGTGATTTGAATTGGATGAGGTGGGCTCATCTTCATTTCGCTCTTAGAGTTAGTTGAAAGGGAAGGCTTTGATTGATCATCTGTGGATTAGAATTCATGTGGTGTAGGAAACGCTGGTGGTCCCATCGCCTTTTCTCGCCTCTCTTGTTTCTCGTCCAAAGTAGAAAACTTAAATGCAGAATACATGAAAATATAAACGCAATTTTTCACCACTGATGACGTGGAAAAGTCCTAGGACGTGTCATATTGCCTCACGAGGAATGTATTCAGACCACTTCAGAGATATAAAAGTTAACTGAGCTGCATTAAAGGTGTGAGACAATGTGAATGACAATTAAAAGACAAAATGAATGTGTTTTGTGACATTTGTCACCAATTCATGAGTCATCCTCCTGTTTGAGCTAGAAACTACTAATCTGAGTCAACTGAAGTAGAACAAGAATAGAACATAGGCTACTTTTGACAAAATATTTTCTAATCAACTATTCTGGAAGACATTTTCCGCCAAAAAGGTCTAGGCGAGGTTTTTTGAGCTCACCAGGGCGATATCTCAACAGATGTACGGCGCTGAAAACCGGAAGTTAATGAGGGACGCGCACAACCACGTGGCAAGCGCCACGTATTTGATGAGGTCCCTTCCTCCAGTTTGAAACTCGGTCAGGGGTAATCACCTTGACATGGTAGTTAGCTTTGTCTTCTATTACCATGTAGGTAGGGAATTTGTTTTAATCATGCCACAAGGTCTATCGATATCATTTTCTCAAAATTCTCCAGAATTTAGTCAGCAGAGATGTCAGATGACCTCAACTGGTATCAGAACAGTGGAACGATCGGGCGGTTGCACTCGAATACTAGTAAGGGAGAAAAGCCACGAAATCATTTATTGGATAGCACGAACCAAGTAGCTACACGTTATTAGAGACGAAAGTGAACAGCTCATTTGCACAATGTTTTTTTTTCAAACTGGACATTCTCACTCGTCCTCTTGAATATTCCTGGACATTTAGTGACCAGACCATGTAAAGGGGCTTCACCATTTCCGCAGTAAACTTCACCATCTATCAAACGCGGAGGTGGAGTTTGTATACCAGACCATAGGCTACTTGCACGCTGCATTAGTGGTATATACCGTTCCGCTAGTAATAGGATAGCAAGTCTCAACTATTGAACGTTATATTATTACTGCCTCACTGAAAGTATGGAACAATTCTGATGTTAAAAGATGGAAAATGTTGCTCGGTGCAAGTTTATTCCGCGGTTCCATCGTTCTAAGCCCGTAGATTTCAGATGTTTCTTAGAAAATGTTTAAATAGATCCCTTCTGCAAGTGCGTGTGAAAAGACTTAATTCAGGATTCTAAATGCTTTACCATTCTGCAAACACAAACACTTTAGTTTCGAGTGTCCTCCTCTAAATTTGTCATGTGTCTGCAATCTGTACATTGGCATAAATTTCACCAGTTAAGTGGAGAAGTGAATCATGTTAGGCGGTATTCCGAATCATTTTAGGAAAAAACGTTAACTGCATGCTGGCATAATTAAAAGCAAATGCTTTGATCCAAACATGTAGAAGATATTTCGACCATAAAACTTCACATACATTGAGGCGTTTTGTCAGGTGATGGATGAAATGGTGCGTCTTTGGACAGGGGGACTGAACACAATGCAGTGTTCAGCTGTCTGGCAATGGAACCGTGACAGCTAAAACATTAGTTGCCGTATCTCTCCCATAGAAACTTACTGTTGGTAAAACTCGCTGTAACAATTTGCTTGTTAAAAATCAGTCGTTTGGTTGGCAAGGTAACCAACTGGAGGTGGAGCCATCCGTTTTACTGTTCCCTGTCACGTTTGCTCCCAGCGAAGCTTCTTTAAAGAACCGGTTGCCCTATGTTCCTTCCCATGTCTATTATGCTAATGTATCAAAAGAACACGTTTGGCATCGATAATTTGAGAACAATTACGTAAGGACTGTCTGAATGCTTACCCTGCTCTGCCTACGCTTTGCACAAGTACTTATCGATTGAAAGCTACTCGTATGAATCCCACACTTTAATGCTCCCCTTCTCGTCCATTCTCGTGCAATTTCAGTATGCCGCACTGGTTGGGGTTTTGGCTTTGGCAGTTATGGCTTGTTTCTCAATCTACTTTGCCAACAAAGACAAGGTGAGTAGTGTTTCAACCATATGCTGCTCAAATGCTCCTCAATAACGTCACACATTACAAGCCAACTGTTGCTCATTGAGGAGGTCTTTGATATCGGGGTTCAGTACAGTTAAACACCCTTAGAATGTGTGCAGTGTTTGCCATCGTCATCCTGGGTTTTAGATGTTAGCATACCGACGTTTTCATGAAATCTGCAGGCTCATGTGTTAGTTGCCAGTCTGGGCTTTAGCTGCGATACGCACTTCGGACAACATACGAGAGATGGTGCGAAGGCACCCTGGTTGCGCATCTGAGAATAGGTTGAAAAAGTTACAATATCTTTTCATAAAGGAAACTACTCAGAAGGTTGCTGAAAACTCTTCGACAGCCCACGACCGGTTTCGCCCTTCCACTTCGGGCTCATCAGGTAGGCGCAGTCCCCGAGTTTCCGTCAACCTTATGATCTACTTGAACCCAAATTGCACTGTTTTCGAGAAATACACTCATCTGCAAATCAATCTGGTTTTTACGGGAGACTCAATTGAATCTCTCGTTTATGATGTCCACCAGCTAAATGTGCTGCAGTCTACCGGGCATCACAACAGCGTTACTTAAGTAGTTGTTTGTTACCTGACACACATATTTTTATTCAACCTAAAAAAATTTTAACCCACCCGCACGACAAGTCTAGTTGAGCTCAAAATGCCCACCGGTCTTACTAACTATACGGCCCGTTTGTGCAACTTGAATCAACTAAACGCAAGGTCATCAGTTGTATGGGGTAGATATATTGTCGAGTGGCACCTTTTCTTCACACTAGTGAGCGTGTTTTTCAACCTTGGTTTGCCTAAACACCAGAATTGAACCCCTGTCTGAGGGATTGCCCCTAAAAGATATGGCGTAAACAGGCGGTTCCCCGAATTTTGATCAGTCTTGTTCCTTAATTCAACATGAATTCAGAGATCCAACTTGAATTTGTGTTAAGTGGAGAACTCACTGAGCCTTTACCCACGTGTCCAGTTAAAAATGCGTCGCCGTTATTCACTTTACATGACAACTTTGACATCAGACGTGCGGCACATCTGTCAAACGATGTTATCTTCGACGAACGCTCTATTCATATTGACAACCTGAAAAGGGCGTCGTTGCAAGAATAAGACATTCCATTCAATCACCGCTCATCATATAAGACTCCACAGCCAGTAGGAGCCGCACACAGCATGTTCACTGGAAACACATCATGCTGCGTTGTGGATGCGTTTATGAAACTTGCTCGGTGAACGATTTCCTTGTCAAACACTTCATACTTTCGTATGAAGCAAACACATGCTGTTCACCAGCTGTAAAGCAATTAGGAGTGCACATAAAAATAGTGATTACGCAGTCGTTTGAGAGTTGAAACCATGCCTAAATTTTATCTATATTTAAACAAAAGTGACAAGATTTCAAACACTGAGGTTGTTGGTGTTTTAGTGAGCTCACTTATCACTATTCTAATCCAAGCTAGCTTGTACTTGCTTGTCTTCCCTGACCCATAGAGTCGTGAGCCAGTCACTTTCTTAGAGATAGGTGGAAGCTCTGTGTTACTGCCCAACAGGTGTCGCGTTGATTGTCGTTCGTTTTGTTATTGCCTGAGTCATAGACTAGTACTTTTCGGCAACAGCTACAAATAGATGAGTTTCCAAGGCACGTTTTCAGAGCTTGGTTTCTTTGCGGAAAACCTTATCTGCTTGACATCCCTAAACTGGCTGATTATTCCATCTGGGAATAATTTTTCAGGAATTCTATCAGTAACAAAAAGAATTAATCGTTTAGCTGTAACATATTTTGGTGCACGGCTGCTAAGCCACTCGAAGACAGCACTGGGGCCAAGATAACTCAAAGCTGCCCAATCCTAGACAGAGGTCGAGATTCAAAGATCGGGTTTGAACCACTCATCTTTCATTCAGTTAGTATGCGCTTCAATCACTGACCTAGCTCAATTAGGCCTTGAGTTTAAGTCTGAAAAACTACGGCAGCTGACGTATTTTCCAACCAGTTCACCTCCAGGCTAGTTTTGTTTTGTTTCTGATTTTTCTCGTAAAGGTGGGGGAGAGAGACGAAAACTCACGAGCCTGTACTTTATTCTATATCATCGCGGGGGTTGAGTACTATGAAGGATTTAGTTACATAAATCAGTCATGGCTAGATTAGCAGCACATGGAACTACAATCAATTTACACACGACGAGGTGTTGATCTTGTTGATTCGTGAAAATATCAGCAGACATTTGACGAGCTGCACGTCTAAATCAAACTCAGCCCACATTATGCTGGAGGTTTTCGTTGATGGTGACAGGCTAGAACAGCTTTCTGAGATTAGTTGGTGGAGGAGTTAAACTTTGGTTACAATTTTGGATGTAGGACCTAAAGTGATTCACCATATCAAGGAGGGGTAACTGAGAATGAAGTTGAGGCTTTTGAGGAGACAGTGGCGTGAGCGTCGTAATCCTTCTCAATAAGCCACCTTCAGGGGGTATCGTACTACCTCCTGAACAGACGAATCACCTTTTTGGGATCTACAACTTATGAGAATCACGTTGTAGAGGCAACAAGTGCTTGATTTGTTCGTATCGCTGTCTTCTTCTGAAGGATGAATATCATCAACAGAGCAAGTTCAAACAAAATGGAATAGTGAACGAGGAATTTTTTCAGCAGAAACCCAGATTATATATATATATATATATATATATATATATATGTTCAGAGTCTCTAGCGGTTTCTGTCTCATAGACACTGCGACACTCTTAGAAATGCATTTCCAGACACTGGTGTCTAAATTCACTTTTGTGTATCGAGGAAAGCCTTCGTCTGCACAATGTAATCCCCATATAAGAACGAACTGAGTTCACCCAGTTCTTTCATACATCCCTGATCTGTCCTGATTTCACTTTCAGATAGCTGATTATGTGGTAGAGGTATTCGCGAAAAGTGTGAAGGCATATACGTCAATGGNAGATTATATATATATATTCAGAGTCTCTAGCGGTTTCTGTCTCATAGACACTGCGACACTCTTAGAAATGCATTTCCAGACACTGGTGTCTAAATTCACTTTTGTGTATCGAGGAAAGCCTTCGTCTGCACAATGTAATCCCCATATAAGAACGAACTGAGTTCACCCAGTTCTTTCATACATCCCTGATCTGTCCTGATTTCACTTTCAGATAGCTGATTATGTGGTAGAGGTATTCGCGAAAAGTGTGAAGGCATATACGTCAATGGAAGCAAACACAGTGGACAGTCTGACTGTTGGACTGATTCAGCCTCCGGTGAGTCAATTCGATTGGAAATGCTTATGTTCAGAACTTTATAATGTCAAAATAAAAACTGACGTGCGTAAAACAAAGAACCATCTTTAAATACGTACTCGTTTTTTATGGAGGAATATGTTGGTAGCTCAGGTAGGGTCGTTGGCTTTTTCGCTGAGCTGGGCACAACCACTAACCCATCGCTACGCACCACTACGCTAATGCACTGATGGTGTCGCCTCGATTGGTGATGAAACGTTTGCAATCCAGTTGCCCAGCTCAGCGAACAAGCCAACTACCAAACGTACTCGTATAATGACTAGTGTATTTTGGAAAAATATGCTACTGGCCACAGTCTGTAGGACCAACGTAGTCTTGGTAGATGGCTTCCAGGTGAATAGATGACTGAATGACTGATGATCTGCCCCTTTGGGTCGACGCCAGATGCAATGGTCTGTGACAAACTTTATCATCCTGGGACAACAGAAACATTGACAGTTGCTGGCGGTTGCGGGATTTGTAGAATGCACTTACATGACTGTCGTCTGAACACGCCCTCTGATCCTGGAGTAATCATTCTCTTGAGTCCATACCAAAGAGGTGAGACGGTGGACTCAACTTTCACCCGCAGTGCATGTCCTTGGCCGTGCCGGGGTTTGAACTCCGCACATTTGAAATGCAAGGCAAGAGTGTTACCACTACTCCGACGGCACATGCTGGGAGCCTCTGATTTTCTGCGTCTGAACTATCATTTCTGACTAAGGATGACGACTTTTTCTGGCCAGAGGATGAATAAAAACACAAAATCACAAAAGTCGTTCTGGATCACAGATAGTTTGCAAGATTAAAATGTTCTGTCGACTTTTTGGACGTTGACGACTTGAAGGATGGCTGTTTTCGGGATACCACTGTACTGACAGACATTCAACATCATTGAAGTAGCGAAACCCAATTTGGTAGTCAGCACAATTGTTTTGGTTGAGGAACCTGTGATTTGCACCACTGGTTCAAATGTGGGAAACCAAGTGCTGCCGAATAATTGTTATTTGAGCGAAGTTATGCGTCGGTTTATTCATTCTGTGCTCCTGAAAATTGGCTCTACGAGATGCAATCAAACTGTGCAAAAATATAATGGGAAAAAGGGGATTCCGATACGCTCATATAGCATGAATGGTTTTTTATGAAGGTGTCAAGCCACCACAGCTGGTATGCTTGAATCTACTAACCTCTACTTGGCGACAGACTGGCTCTATCATAGAATCTGCAGACCGTTTTCGTTGTCACCACGCTTCTCAACTGTGTGGTGACTGGACTAAGGTCAAACCGTGTAGCACGGCTGTGATACAGGACAGGTTGCACACATGACAAATCAGCCTGGTCAGGAAATAAAGAAACAATTGTCAGCGATAAGACGACGTCGGTAAGCAGTTCAGTCGGCCAACATATGAGAGACGCAAACCACAAAGCTGACCCCACTGATGCTTTGCAGGCCGTTGAGAGAATGCAATCAAACCGACCCAAGCCAATCAATATCACTGCGGCAGCAGCGAGTGTTGTCAGATCGCTAATTTGAGACACCTATGGCGTCAGACAGGCCGTTGAATGCAATCAAACCGACCCAAGCCAATCAATATCACTGCGGCAGCAGCGAGTGTTGTCAGATCGCTAATTTGAGACACCTACCTATGCAGAATGGTTTATCCCTGAATCTGAAGGGACGTATGTATCAAGCTACAGTACGGGCTGTCTTGTTGTATGGATATGAGACTTGGCCTATTCGAGCAGCGGAACTGAGACTTCTTCAGGTGTTCGACAATCGTTGTCTCAGAAACATAGCTCGTGTGGGTTGGTATCGGCGAATCCGTAACGAGGCAGTTAGAAAGCGCGTTTCGGTTGTGCGACGGGTACTTCCATAGAAGAATGTGTCCAGCACCACAAGCTGCGTTGGTTGGGACATGTGTTGCGTATACCGAACCATCGTTTGCCGAAGAGAGTGCTGTTTTCCATGCCCAACACGGAGTGGCGTAAACAGAGAGATAGCCAACCGTTGATTTGGCAGAGGAGTATGAAGGAGATCACGAAACGCTTGGGTGCTGTCGGTGCTACTCGCCTTCCAGGATGGGGACCGCGTGATCCTCACTGTGCCTGGTTGGAGACACTACAAGATGTGGTTGCCAACTGATGTCAGTGGCGTTCTTATTGTCAGTTCCTATCCCGAGCGTCTGAGTGAATGTCTGCAGGTATAGGCAGCTCTGAACGATTGTGGTAAGCTAGCAATAAGTCCCCACCCCGTCCACCTTTACTGTTTTTCTTACAACAAGGCTTTGAAATAAATCATGGTTGTACGGCAGTCAAGCATCGGTTTTGATGTCGTGTTGTCGACGATGATGATGATGACCACATCCTGTCCACACAGGCACCATGACCTCTGCACTATGCACGTCCCAAGATCAGTCCACTGTCGCCCTTGGTTCACGTGTTTAAGCTCGCGCTGCCCAACAGTGCTCTTCCATGTGTTTGGCTGTACATGTGTGCTTTAGGTTCCACAATTTCATGATTTAAGGAGGTTTTACCGAACCTCCAAGGTTGTCTGTCAACCGCTGTATCTTTTCCAGTTTAATGAGAGTTTTGGATTATTCCTGAAAATGTAGAACCAACGCTACAAGGTCATTTATTGATTTCATCTGGTATCACCTGTGCAGTTCGGAATGGAATGAAGTGAGTAAAATAAACTGGTATTAAACGAGTTTGCTTTTCTCTATGTTGTCTATTCTAGTGCAGGAATTTTGCTGACATGTAACATCTTGTCGAACCCAAGCGTGGAGGCCTAAGCTGATGGTACTGCCCGATGACGCTGACGATGATAATGATGATAATATTGACAGCAGATGTAAAAACGATCGTAGTAATGGGAGAAACAGACTGGAAAAAAAAGAAAAAGGGCAGTTGGTGATGATGACAGTGATAGCACATTTTATTGTTGGTCAACCCCAATATCAGGCCCCTAAAGAGCCTTCGTCTGGGACCAGAAATGGTTCCGCAGAAGATCAAGGTTTTCCGTGTAAACGTGACCAACAGAAATTGCGTTGCGCGCCTTCTGTGCCGTGTAAGAAGAATTTCATCGTATGAGAGCCTTTTTTAGGAGTTTTTTTGAGAAAAAGTGAATTTTTTTGGATATAAGTCGGTACTGTGGACGTTCAGCTAACTGGCATAGTTGTTATTCATATGCCAGTCCAGCCAACCTCGCTCCGTGACAAAACAGGCAGTTTGTTCATCTGGTCAAGAATGACCAAAACGATATGTTATGACGAAGACGCATTCTGATGCAGCAAAGAACGTGGTGACGCTCATTGTGAACTCAGTAAATATTGAGGAATCGCGCGTTGCTTCTGTTATGTTCTCTACTAATCAGTCAATCAACCTTGTCAGTTACACACGAACTTGAGAAGACAAAAAGCCTTGAGGAAATTATACTGCAGCTACTGAACAGCCAATATCGGGATTCGAAGAATCAAGAATTGAATGGAACAAAACAGTCCAATAAAAGACTGAAATAGAGAGAGAAATGTTGAGCAATATTTTCGTTAGGGGTGCCTCCTAACAGAGGGGATTTCGCAGATAGTTGGCATTTGGAGCACTTGCTTACAAGTTCTTCTAACTGCTTATCCATGCTCGGCCAGTAGACATAACTACGTGTTAGCGCCTTCATGCAGTTAATACCGGGATGTCCAAAATGAAATTGTTTGAGGACATCACTCCGTAATTCCGGGGGCACAATTACTCGTTCTGCGAAGAGTAAACAACCATCAACCTCGGAAAGTGAGGATCGACGTTGGTAGAACGGTTGAAGTTGTTTATCGGAACATACTGCAGGCCATTGTGTGCGGTGAAAATGGAGTACATTTTGAAGTAACGGATCACGAGCAGTGGCGTCGCGAACCATGGCGGAAGTAACTGGGAGTGCACGGATTGTAGTAGCAAGCACTGCGTTAACTTCTGGTTCCACCGTTATCGAGGCAACAACAGCATCCTCGGGTTGTTGACGTTGAGAATCCATGAGTCTTGATAATGCATCAGCTTGGCCAATAGCATCAGTAGACTGGTACTTGATGGAGAAGTCATAGCCCAAAAGCATTGTAGCCCAACGTTGCAAACGGTTGGCTGTGTAAACAGGGATGCCTTTCTTGGATCCGAAAACGGCGAGAAGGGGCTTATGGTCAGTGATGAGCGTGAAATGACGTCCATAGAGCATTTTGTGGAACTTCTTGATGGCGAAGATTATTGCTAAAGCTTCTTTTTCAATTTGACCATAATTGCGCTCGGTAACTGTTAGGGATCTAGCTGCGTGGGCAATTGCTTTTTCGTTTCCGTCGGGGAAAACGTGAGAGATGACAGCTCCAATACCATAGTTGGATGCGTCTGAAACAACAGTAATGTCCAGGGCTGGATTGTAATGTGTGAGTAGTAGATCAGAGCTGAGAAATGACTTTACTTTGTCAAAAGCGGACTGGCACTGATGTGACCAGTTCCAAGGCACATCCTTTTTTAGAAGATGATTAAGTGGTTCACGGACACGGTGCATGTCTGGCAAAAATGAACTGTAATGGCTTACTAAACCGAGAAAGGAGCGCAAGGTTGCTAAATTCGTCGGTGCTGACATTTGTTGTATGGCAGAAATATTTTCTGGGTCTGGATGACGACCATGTTCGTCAAAAATAAATCCAAGATATTTGATAGAAGTGAGAAAAAATGCGCACTTCTCTGCACGTAGACGAAAACCATATTGTTGAATCCGTTCGAGTACGCAATGTAAACGATGCAGAAGTTCTTCTTGACTAGAACCTGTAAGAATGATGTCATCCAAATAAGCAGCAACTCCTGATAGACCGTTTAGCATGGCATCCATTGTTTGTTGAAATATTGCTGGTGCAGATTTTACCCCAAATGGCAAACGGTTAAATTGAAACAAACCGCGATGTGTGTTAATTGTCAGAAGTTCTTTGGAGTCATCAGAGACTTCTATCTGAAGGTAAGCATCAGCAAGATCCAGTTTTGCGAAACATCTTCCACCATTGAGCTTGGTGAACAAATCTTCTGGTACCGGCAATGGATATTGGTGAGAGTCTAACACGGCGTTTAATCCAGTGGAATAATCAGCACATATGCGCACCTTGCCATTTGCTTTTTTGATGACAACAATGGGAGCTGCCCATGATGAGTGGTTTACTGGCTGGATAACTCCGGATTGCTGGAGACGAACAAGTTCATTCTCCACAGTTGCGAGAGCAGCAAATGGCACGGGACGCTTCGGTCTGAAAATTGGTGTGGAAGCAGGTTGGAGTTTGAGGCTTGCCTTGGTTTTGGTACAGCATCCAAGGCCACTTTGGAAGACATCGTTGAATTTTGTCTTCAGTGTGTTAGTAAAGTGTTCTGCAATGTCTGAGGAGGATGAACATTTCAGAGTACTGCACACAGATGATAAAGGTACACTGAAAAGGTCAAGTTTCTCGATCCAATCGAGTCCGAGTATGTTTAATTTCGGACAATCGGTGAGATAGCATGTTCCTGAGAAGTGCACATTGTTGAATAACACATCACAAGACAACTTGCCTGTTAGTTTTAAAGTGCTACCAGAGGCGCTTTTGGCCCGATGGTGCGTGGAGGATAAAACAGGTTTCCCAATTGATTCCCAAACTGAACGTGATATTAATGTAATATCCGAAGCTGTGTCAAGCTGCAAACGGATCGGGAAATTGTTGATGGAAACTGTTATGTATTTCCTGCGGGATTCAAATTCAACTTGAAACGTAGCAAACAGAGAATTGGATTGTATTCGTTGCTTGTACGTCCGCCTTTTGATTGAGTCTTTCATCGGACTGTTATCGTTCTTTGGGTTTAATGGTGATTTGGCATTGTGGGTACGGCAAAAGCCTTCTTTATGGCCCCAACGATGGCATGCTTGGCACTGATGTTTCTTGAATGGACAAAAACGTGCATAATGCCATTCACCACATGACCAACATGATGTTGGTGGCTTTTTTCCAGGAGTGACAGCGGTTCGCTTCAATGTCATGACGCTGCTGGAAATAGGCGATCGCGACTTTTGCTGTACCATTGCGGTATCATGTTTGAGATTGCGCAAGCGCTGGCATTCTGTGGTGAGGTCTTTCACAGTAATGTCTTTTTCGTGCTCAAGTTTGGATAGCAATCGCGTGCGAATATCTGATTCCTGAGAAGATTGAAGTCCAGCGACAAAAATGAGGCATTTGAACTGATCTTCTGTAAGCGATTGCAATTGGAATTTCTCACATTCGCGATTAACGATACCGGCAAAAGTAACGTAATCGTCGGCCTCACGCTTGGCCAACTTGAGACAGTTGTATCGGACATTAAAAAGTGAATGTTGGTCACCAAAAATTTCGCGAAGTTGGTCCACCGTCTGCGCAAAAGTCAAATCTTTTGGGTGTTGTGGAAGGATAAAGTTGGTGAACCGGTCGTGTTCGAGGGTTCCAAGTTTCCGTACCAAGAGACGGGATTTCCACGCATCATCTTTGCCGGTGAACTCATTCAAGAATGTATCCTCCCAACGGCTGTACCACGAATCAAAGGTGAGACCAGATGCTGGCTCATAGTGAAATTCAGTTATAGTTGCAGCAATGGAATCCGCAAAGGATAGTGAACTACCACTTTGAGATGAAACTGAAGTTTGGAGATTGATGACTTGAGTGAGAGACTGGATAAGTCGCAATTGCGATTGTTCAAATTGCGCTTGTTGTTGTTGAAGGATTGATTTCAAATCCTCAGCTGAAATTGACATTCTTGGGTTCGTGAAGGGTTCCCGTCGCCAGTGTTATGTTCTCTACTAATCAGTCAATCAACCTTGTCAGTTACACACGAAATTGAGAAGACAAAAAGCCTTGAGGAAATTATACTGCAGCAACTGAACAGCCAATATCGAGATTCGAAGAATCAAGAATGGAATGGAACAAAACAGTCCAATGAAAGGCTGAAATAGAAAGAGAGAAATGTTGAGCAATATGTTCTTTAGGAGTGCCTCCTAACAGCTTCATTCCATCCTCCAGTTCCATTCGTTTGACTCAGCTGTGCAACTTTCCAGCGAATATCTGTTTTCGTAGCTAATTCAAGTCACGTGTTGGGTTAGTGTGTCACCTGTGTTTACAACGACTAGACAACGGTAGACAACTAAACATCTATCCACGGCAAAATGTTCTTATATGAGAGAGAACCTGAATATGCTTCTTTCCTGGCTCTAGCAGGTTTTCTTCTCTGTGGGGTCACAAAGAGGAAATGTGGTGTGCTTTCGGGAAGAATGCTGGTTGCTCAAGCAGTTTGGATGGCACAGCGACCCATCGCTACACTCGACTAGGCTGCAATTATGACGTCACCTTGATTGAGGATGAAACGTTTGCTCAGCGAGCGAACAAATGACCAAAAAGTGTGGTGAATTTGAAACAGTCTTCTCAGATGAGATCTACTCAGGGAAGGATGGTGTACTAGAAATTTGATCTGCGACTGTTTACAAATTTGTATTCTTATTCAAGAGAACTGTTCTTCCCAAAACTTTCCAGCTCAAGTGCTGTGGAGTGACGAGTTCAGCAGATTTCGTGAATCTCTCATCAGAAGATACCTATGGTGGACAGTCTTATACAGGTAAGAAGTGTATCTTTGTGTGGAGGTTGATAATATATCTAAGCAGACATTTTTGTGACATAAATTCCAATAATCATTAGAACTCAGTGTAAGATTTTTATCAATAAATCGGGCATTCTATCGTAGACTTCACCTCGCTTTCCTCAACGCCAATCGGAAAATGCAGAGGAGGATTTTCTCACAGTACTCGGATAAATTTATCATTCTATCAGAATTTCATTAGTTTTTGAGTCATTAAACTCCATAACAAGTGAGTTGAGACAACATGCTAGTGTATTAACTTTCCTAGAACCGTTTCATCATTTCGGTTACACGTAATTAGGCGATTTCGTAAGCATGAGCATACAACGCTGTGATTCGAAGCACTCCAGGCGGTTGTTTGAGAGCTCATCCACCCCACCTGTAGATCAAACTGGAGCATGTGTCATTGCAAAGGTTCTGCTAAACTCTGTAGCCGTCACTCAGCGGAACACGCGTCATACACTCAAATCACGTAACAATTTCTGTCGCACTTGTAGCGGCGCACAATGGAATGGAATTTTCGAAAGCTATGACGTGTCCCTGAGAGATTAAAGTAATCGGGCAATTGAGTTCAGAGTACCAGTCCAAACTCTCCATTCAGGCATCCCGGAGTCTGGGCAATGTTGGAAAATTATTCCACCAGATTTTTCACCTCAGTGGACAATGAAGTTTAGTGAGCTGCAAAAATATGGGCGTAGATTAGGATGGTTTTTGGCTCCAGCACATACGCAACAAAGCGCAACATTTTGGCGCAGGATTGTGCGGCTAATTGGCTCCCTTGCAACCTTGGCCGACACTACAATTACCCATGCATTTTTGTTTACGCGTCTACCACCTGCGTCACGCACAAAGCTTAGGAAATTCAATCACATCAGGTCAGGTTGTGTTCATGTTCGTGCAATTATCAAACACAAATGGCCAACCCCCTCTTCACATTGCGCAGGCATGCAACTCAGCCCAAAAACACGCACTCGCGCGCACAGGAATGGTTACGTGATTTGAGTGTTCGTGACGCCTGATCCAGCGAGTGACCGCTACAACTCGGAAGCAATCTCCATCATCCAGTGATTAGCTAAGTCCTTCACAGTTGGCGATTTCCTATTGTGGCACCGGTGCCGTAGCACCTCTCTAGATTTTTCTGGTTCGCGATCATTGACGCTTCAAAGTCAAACGGACTTGATACTGATACCAAAACCAGCTCTACTGTCACAGCCTCAGCACCCGGATTCGTCTTCCTTCTGTTCGGTGGAAATCATGGTTTTAGCCGGCCATTCAGTCAAGAGCAAAGTTGTCTCAGTCTCGGCAGTGTGATAGGGGCAACGAAAACCACCATGACCGGCCCATCATGCTCGGTGTGCATGCCTAAACTGCTCCAATGGTATCTTAACCTTACGGGCCCTGATTCACGTTCAGGCGGCTGAGAGACAGAAAGTGCAGTCGAGGGGCTTGTCTACGGTATAGATATTGAGACCAGATTGGTGAGCAGAGGGCTTGACGCTCAGACAGTAGAACTCCCAAGTCAGTTCATTGTGATAAGGTGGCAATTCATCAGCTCATCCAACTTTTGCTTCTCCCTTCTGTGTGCACATCTGAGACCGGGCAACGAAAACCACCATGACCGGACCATCATGCTCGGTGTGCGTGCTTAGACTGCTCCAATGGTATCTTAACCTTACGGGCCCTGATTCACGTTCAGGCAGCTGAGGGACAGAAAGTGCATTCGAGGGGCTTGTCTACGGTATAGATATTGAGATCAGATTGGTGAGCAGAGGGCTTGACGCCCAGACAGTAGGACTCCCAAGTTAGTCCATTGTGATAAGGTGGCAATCCATCAGCTCATCCAACATTTGCTTCCCCCTTCTGTGTGCGCATCTGAGACAGGCCACCGGTGAGGCCGAATGTTGAATGTAGATTAGCTTGAGGGGGCCCATTAGCCGCACAATGCTCCTAGCTGCAAAACCTTTACGAGTGGGGTGAAACAATTTGCGCCAAAATGTTGCATTTTGTTGCGCATGTGCTCAAACAAAAAAAACCAATCTACTTTTATATTGTTGTGTCTCACCAAATTTCATTGTATACCGGAGCAATCATACTTGTAGCGGAAAAGTTTGGTGGAATAATTTCCCAGCATCGCTGGGACTCCGGGATGCCTAGACGGGGCTCAAAAGCTTAGACTGGTACTCTGGACTCGATTGCCCGATTAATTTAATCTACAGGGACACGTCATATCTTTCGAAACTTCCATTCCATTCTGCGAATACTGAGCACCTAGCTTGAGCTAGAATGATCATTCTCTGAAGAAGGTCGTATTGAAGCGGTGGCTTGAGGATCAGCAAATGCGATCTGGCTTTGAAATAGTGCGCTGTTAATGGTAACGGAGTCCGCGACGCACCTCGGAGTTCTCTCCTTGTGTAGGCTTGTGTTCGTGCTATATACACGCCTGACACAGCAACTAGCGGAATGCAGAACAGCTCCACCCGAAAATTCCCGGGTTGTCGAATTTGGCGTCAGACCACCAGGAGCCTACCCTCATCATCAGATGACTGCTTATATCTGTTGTATCTCCTTTTCCGTAACGAACACTTTGTCATGCAGTGCTCTTGTCCTCGTTCGATTATTTGTTTGTCTCGTCGCGGAATTCTCATCCAGAAACAGGTTGACTGAAAGAGATTTCAAACTTTTCTTCAGATTACAAACTGACGACTTTTGGAGTCGTTTCCACTCAGTCAAGGACTGGGCGATACGGGCTACTTGAAGTAGATGGCCATCTGTCATTCGAAGTACACATATTGATCGGCCTAACCATTTGACCTTGACTAGCTGGTATACCTGAAATGAGTCAGTTTCACGTACAACGACATTTGGGCTCGATTCTCCCACCGAACCAAGGAAATGAATCGGACAGACCACGAGTATGTGGATTAACCACCCACT